GATCGTCCGCACAATACCACACACTCGTCTCCAAGCTCTAACGACTTCAACGCCCATAAATAACCACCGCTGCTTTTCGTATTATTCGATATCGACCATCCACTGACATCGCCCCCCCCCCCCCCCGATCTCCATTTACGAGATCGCGAAGAAAGCGAGAATGATTCGTTCGTTGATGGATGGGGGGAATGGAGGGGGCAGAGTGGAGAGGAAAGAATTCATAAAATTAGACGGATAATTCGGTTCGATGAGACGAATCGTACTACTTTTGTTTTCTTTTTTACAAAAAGAAATTCCAATCGTATTTCTCTGCTATCTACTAGTTGCGAGTAGGAAAGGCAACTTCTCTGTTCGAGCGTGCGTGTATGGGTGGATCGCGTAACAACTGATCGGAGCAGGAAGCCGCATCCGGAATTTCATCCGTATTCGATTCGAGCGGGCCGATAACGCCGATACCATCTTGTGTCGTTTCGGCTCGATATCGATCGCGAATCGAAATATTTTTTTACGCAGCCTAAAAGCCTGAAAGAAAGCGTGATGCATTTTTCAGAATCAATTCAACGCTTATTAGTTATTGTTTCTTTCACTGTTCCTTCTTTTTCTCGCCATACCGGTCACCGGAGGATCATCGTGTAGGAATTCAAGTAGGCGGAGAGTTATAGAAAGTAAGTAAGCGCGATGAGGTAAGGCGCGAAATGTGATTCGATTGGCGAATGATCAGTTGTTTCCACGACGACGTAACGTTCAATCGAAACGAGAACACGAGAGAAAGAAACGTTGGAGGAATTATTTTGCATCGTTGCGTATATTCCTCGCAACGATATCGATGATCGGTGTAAAAACGAGAGGCATGACGAATACCGCCACGAATACCGTTACTCCGTTCAACAATCGCATTCTCCGATGCAACCTCTCCTATTCACTACACGCTCTCCAATCTCTACATCTGTAGAAAAATTTGTGCCGAGCATTTTTCTCCTCTTCCATCCGATCCATCCTTTTTTTGATACGATTCGCTGCAACAAAGATGGATTCAAAATTTTCAAGGTCTTTCCGTATTCCGGATTAAACGTAGGAGAGAAAAAAAAAAAAAAAAGAAAAAGGAGAATTTTCATCGGGGAACGCGAATGGAATAACCTCCTCCTCCTCCCCCCCCCCTAATCCTCGTGAAAGCGCGCGCCGGTTGTGTGGAAGATAAGGGGGAGGGGGGGTGGGGGAGAGGCTTGATGAACTTGCCTCGTGAATCACCTCGCCTATAAAAATCGGCGCCGATGCGTGAGAGAGATAATGGGAGGGCGGGGGGGAGGGAGGGGCGGTAACAACAGGTTTGCTTATGTATACGCGCGTGCACACACACACACACACACACACTGCAACCAAGGCGGGAGGGGGGGGGGAGGCAGGAACGAAGGAGCGCGCATCCTCCACGCTCTCGGCTCTCCACAAGTTCCTTCCGCGCGAGGGTGGCTCCATTACCATCAATTAACCCCTGCCGCTTAGCTCGACGAAATCCGAGCGATATGTGAACGAAATGCAAATATAATAGAATAAATCTATTATCTTTTAATAAATGACAGTTAATAACAGTTTCGAGACTATATTTCGTTATTGACGAAGAATAGTTCGATGGAAATTACGAGCGGAAGACCGAGCGTGCCTTCGTTCCGAGAAATGTAATGATGTATCACGTTTAAAAATAAATGGTATATTACAAGCAAAAAATTTAATTACAAGAAAATGCTTGCTTGCTCACCTTGAATCGATGTCTGGCAGGAATATACTCACTCCAGGAAATTAATAGTCCTGGCATGATACGATATTTCCATTGAAACATTATGATGCAGACTGTAAAAAAGCTACTTCGCGATGTTCGTCAAAATCTTCATTCTAACGAAGAATGAAGTAGGTTAAAAGCGCGGTTCGTTTCATTCCATCGAAATTTTGCTCGATATCTTCCCTCCATTCGCTTTCCGTATCCTTGTTGAGTCGGAGCCTAGGAATCGAACGCGAGAAACCGCGAATGCGCTTTATATACGCGAACCAACGAATTCCTAACGAATTCCCTCTTATCTCTTAGACTCGAATAACGTTTCGAAGCGATGCACGAATCGATGGTTAATTAATACGCGAATCCCGCACGAGGGGATTCCTTTCGTCGATTTCGCATTCAATTAGGTTTGTCTGGCCGCACCTCCCGCGATAGCGCAGGCCGGGAGGAACCCTACGAATCGATTACGTGGCAGAACGATTGAGAAATCCACCCATTGTTCGCCGATGCGATGCGCGTTCCTTCTTCCTTCTTTCCAGGTGATCTCGCAGATGTTCTCGTCGCGAATATCCTGGCGTTACGTAATCCAGCGTTAGCTGAAACAGAGAAATGACAGACGTTTAATTAAACGGTGGGTGTATTTAAGGAAGGGAGAGAGATAATAGGTATTGCGTAATACGCGGCTCGATTCGACGCCACTTTCTCTCCTCTGCGTTCCTTCCATCGATGCGTGTGCCTTTCGCAATAACTTCTTCGCAATAACCGGGATAACGGGCAGTATTCGAAATCTTGTCCTGCCATTTTTACGCGATATCGATATCGTGGTGTGCATATACGCGTAACTAGTCCACTAAAACTAGTCGCCAGATGTAAACGGGAAGATAAGAGAACAGGAGAAGGTAGAATAGTGAGAATATTCGAACGGCGTATATAATCGGGGCGAGA